GTATATCCTATGCAAAGAAGTTTGAGAGATGGGGTCTCACTCAGTTGGTAAGGCTAGCCATGAACTCTTTCTGTAATCAACACTAGCCTTGAATTTAGGATTCTTCTGCCTCAGCATCATGAGTATCTGGGATTAATTGCCAAGGCTATATCACCAGGCCTATCATTTAAAAAAATTTTGTCAGTGTATCTTATAGAAAAGGTGTTTTGTGCTGACATTTTCATATATGCATATGGCATGCTTTGATTATGTTCATCCCTGTTGTATGTACTTGCATCTAATTCCCTTCGTTGTCACAGATTATCCCCTTTCTGCTTTAATATCTTGTGTGTGTGTGTGTGTGTGTGTGTGTGTGTGTGTGTGTGGTGTGTGTAAGTGTTTTGTGGATGACAGAGAATAATCACTTTGGCTGTCATTCTTTTGTCTACTTCATTATTTTGAGACCAGGCCCCTCACTGGAGGGAGTTTTCTCTCTTCCTCCTCAATACTGAGATTACAAGTGTGCATCACCACACCCCTCTTTTTTTTTAAAAAAAAGTGGATTTTGAGAGTTGAATTCAGGTCCTCATGCTTGTATAACAAACAATTCACTGATTGAGCCATTTACCCAGCCCCTTACTTAAAAAAATTAGTTTTACTATTTTTGAATTGTTTGTATCTGTGTGTGTTTGCAGGTGCTCTTGGAAGCTGTACTAATGGATGTCCTGGAACTAGAGTTACAGGCAGTTTTGACCCACCTGACATGGGTGCTGGGAATCGAACTCAGGTCCTCTGCAACAGCAGTGCACGCTCTTAGCCACTGAACCATCTCTCCAGCCCCTACTAAAATAAAAAAAAACTATATTTATTTGTATGGATATTTTCCCTGCACGTGTGTCTATTTGCCACATAGTGCCTGGTGCCTGCAGACACCAGGCAAGGGTATTGGATACTTGGGACTGGAGTTACACATTCTTGTGAGTTGCCACATAGTTGATGGAATTGAACCTAATCCTGTTGAAGAGCAGCCAGTACTCTGAACTGCTGAGCCATCTTTAGCTCCATAGGATATTTTGTTTGTTTGTTTGTAATTGAGATAGGACTCTAACTATATAACCCTGGCTGGCTTGCAACCTGCTATGTAGACGAGGTTGGTCTTGAACTTAAGAGATCTGCCTGCCTCTGCCTCCCGAGTGCTGTGATTTAAAGGTGGTGTTACCATGTCTGGCCCCCTTAAACTTTTTCTAAAGGCCTAAAATATGATGTATTTTGTAGAAAGTTCTGTGGGCTACTGAGAAGAATTTGTGTTATACAGCCATTGGGAAGATATTCTGTAGATGAGTATGTCTATTTTGTCGATTTTATCTGTATTGTTGTTTAACTGGTTTCTTTACTATTTTGCCCAGATAAAATCTGGTGGTAGCAATGAGTTACTGAAGTCACTCATTATGATTGTATCTGTACTTACTTGTAACTTTATGTTGGCCGTGTTTGTTTTATGAAATTGGCTATACCAATATTTGGTGCATGTATATCTACAGTTGTTATGCTTTTTGGTTGATTATTCTATTTATTAATGTGTGATAAACATCTTTTTATTATCTTTGCTAGAGATTGAACTCTGAGCCTTGCATATGCCAGACAAATAGTGTACTATTAAGCCATAACCCCATTCAGGGACCGTCTTTAGTTTTTCTTAATAATTTTGTTTTGAAATCAGCTTTGTCACCTATGGGAATAGCTAATTCTGTTTGCTTTTAGATTCTCTTTGTTTGAATTTCATTTTTTGTTACTTTTCATTTAGTCTCAGTATGTCTTTATTAGTGAGGCAAGTCATTTACAGATAACAAACAATTAGGACTTGAGTGTTGTTATTCTTTTAATTTCTTATAGCCAGTCTGGCTTTTAAAGTAGTGACTAAATACCATTTGCATTTAAGATTGTTATTGCAGCTGGGTTGGTGGTGGCGCACGCCTTTAATCCCAGCACTCAGGAGGCAGAGACAGGCGGATCTCTGTGAGTTTGAGGCCAGCCTGGTCTACAAGAGCTAATTCCAGGACAGGCTCCAAAGCCACAGAGAAACCTTGTCTCAAAAAATATTGTTATTGCAAACATATATACTCATCTGTCCCTTCTTTATCTTAGTCATTACCTCATTTCAAAAGTTAATGGTGTTTGATTCTTCTCTCCTAATTCTTATTTACATGCTCTATCAAAATTTATTCTTTCCTAAGGATTCATAATTATTTATTTTTAAAATATTTTCTATTATTTTAATTATGTATACTTGTTTATATTTATGTATTGGTATGTATTCGTGAGTGCAGATGCCTTTGGAGGTTAAAGTAGTGTAGGAGGAGGGTCTGCTTGTTCGTCCCGGCCACCTGGCTAGCTTTGCCCCAAAATAACCACACAGAAACTGTATTAATTAAATTACTGTTTGGCCCATTCGCTCTAGCTTCTTATTGGCTAACTCTTACATCTTAATTTAACACGTTTCTATTAATCTGTGTATCGCCGTGTGGTAGTGGCTTACTGGCAAAGCTCGTCTATCTCCAGTGGCAGATCCACGGCATCTCCCTGACTCTGCCCTTCTCTCTCCCAGCATTCAGTTCTGTCTTCCATGCCTACCTAAGTTCTGCCCTATCAACAGGCCAAGGCAGCCTCTTTATTCATCAGTGGCAATCACAGCACACAGAGAGGACTCACCACATCAAAGTAGAGGTAGGGGGATCCCTCTGGAATTGGAAGGCAGGTAGTTGTCATCTACCTGATGTAGGTGCTAGGAACTGAACTCAGGTCCTCTGTAAGAGCTTAGAGTTTTCAGCCTCTGATGTAATCCATGGGTGACAGGACTCACTGCTTACTGTGGAGGATGGGAGCAGATTCCATCCTCATCCTCCATGCCTCACACTTCCTTCCACTTAAAATTCAGTATGTCTGTGTCTAATTTGCTCTCTATGTGGCTTCTTCTGATGGGCATCTTCCATCCAGACACCGTGACAGGGTATCTCTAGGTGTCTTAGGTATCCCTATTCCTGAGCTTGTGATTTCCCATTTTTCAGTTCTGTAGAATAGCTCAGTCAAACAACAGGCCCCCTCTCAAGATGGTACCTGATTATTACACCCCAGCATTTGGGGAGTGATGCAGTGGACTGCCTCTCCCATGTTAGCCTGCCATCCAGGAACACTCAGTGTCAACCCAAATCTCCATGTTTGATTTAAGGCTCGCAGGACTGCCACTTAGCTGCTACTTGGGCTGCCTGGACTCTACTGCTTATGTGTGGTTACTGCTTGTTAATTTCCCACCCTCTTGATGGTACTAGAGCTGCGAACTGTTCCTTTGGTCTCTTTGCTTCACTTCTCTGTATTTCTGTGTCTTTCTGCCTGTCTTTTCACCTCTTTCTTGATTCCTCATGTTCTCTTTCTGTCCTCATCATACAGGCTCCCCATTGTTGCCCTGACTCATTAATTTGGGAGTCCTATGGATGGAGATATCTGACTTGCCATTGTACCACTGAACTCTGCCCTCTTCAGTGCCTTTTCCTTTATCATTGTATTTTGTCCTAAATGCTTTCTTAGGAAAATTCACATATTCCAAAAATTTTTATCTTTAAAATATACAGTTCTATCAGGTGGTTTCATAGATTTATGCCACCATCACTATTGTCTAAGTTGAGGAAATTTCACTACCAAAAAGAAACTCCCTACCATTTAATAGTCATTCCCATCAGTGGTAATCCTCAGAACTCTATAGAGCCACTACTCTTCTTGCTTACTTCACATATTTCATCCAAGTGGAATTGTATGATGCCAGTCTTCAGGGAGTAGATATGCACACTCTCCTTCCTTCTCTCCTCTCTTTCGAAGCAAATATTCTGTCACTGAGCCAAGCCCTGAGTCCCAGAATATCACTTCTTTTTATGGCCAAATAGCAATTCCATTTTGGGCATATGCTATATTTTTTATTTATCTATTCATTAGATAATGAACATTTGTATTATTTTGTGTTTTTCAATAATATGCTAGCTATTGCTATGAACATTGCTATGTACATTTTTGCATGTAAATGAGTTTTCAGGCCGGGCGGTGGCAGTGCACACCTTTAATCCCAGCACTTGGAAAGCAGAGGCAGGCGGATCTCTGTGAGTTTGAGGCCAGCCTGATCTACAGAGTGAGTTCCAGGACAGCCAGGGTCACACAGAGAAACCCCATCTTGGAAAACAAAAACAACAAAAGAAAATGTTCCTTCATTTCTTTTGGGTGTATATCTATGAATGGAATTGCTAGGTCATCTGGTAATTTTCTGTTTAATGCTTTGAGGAGATGACAAATTGTTTGCCATGCTGGCGCTCCATTGTATCCACTTATTAGCAGTGGTAAGGGCTCCAGTTTCCTCACACCTTTACCAAGACTTCCTATTTTACGAAAAAAAGAAAAAAAAGACTACAGTCATCCCAGGAGGTGTGAAATGGCATGTCACTGTGAGTGGTTTTTTTCCTACAGGGTTTCTCTTTGTAGCCCTGGCTATCCCAGAACTCACTCTGTAGACCAGACTGGCCTCAAATTTAGAGATCTACCCACCTCTGCCTCCCATGTGTGGGATTAAAGGCACACACCACCACTGCCTGACTATCATTGTGGTTTTGATGTACATTTTTCTAATGACTGAATTCTTTATGATTTTCAAGTATTTCTCCTTTGTGTGGGTTATTCTCTCACTCACTTCATGATATCTTTTAAATTGCAAGTTTTTAATTATGGTGAAGTTTATCTTAACATATTTTATCAATTTTTTTGTCTCTTGTGCATTAGAAGTTATGAATGCTTTTATTTGTAGTACAGCATGTGGACTGGGAATTAGAAACATCCCAGCATTAGTCACTTATTTGACAGAATGAACTATACATTTCAGAGTTTATTTTTCTGGCAATTTCCATCATCGACTCATTTTTGTTCACTTTAAGATATATATCACTCTCAGTATTTCTCAGGTGTCTGATATCACCTTGGTTTTGTAGGGCATGGTCCCAACTGCTCAGCGTGCTGCCATCGTGGTGGGAGTAGAGTTGCCAGTTTATGATATTACCAAGAAGCACCTGATACTGTCAGGAATGCTGGGAGACACCATTTTAACACACTTTGTGTAAGTGAGCAGTGTTTAATTCATTCTCCAGATTCAGCAGCTTGAACATAAAAAGCCTCTTTTACTGATGTCCTCAGGTAGATTTATAACTGATATTCACGGCCTTAATACTTGTCTCCTGTCACCAATACTTCAAGCCTTCTGAATATTTGATACTTTTAAATTTATTGCTCTGTATTAATTATATAAAATAGTGGGTTTTATTGTGACATTTCCTATTATTTACATTTCTCATTATTTAATTAGTATATATTCATTTTAGAAGATTATGTGTTTCAGTATGACATTTTATTTCATTTTATTTAGTTTACATACCAGCCACAGATCCCCTTCCCCCCTCCTCCCTCTCTCCCAAGCCCACCCCCATCCACTCCTCAGGAGGGTAAGGCCTCCCATGGGGAGTCATCAAAGCCTGGCACATTCAATTGAGGCAGGACCAAGTGTCTCCTGTCCTACCCCTCCTCCCCCCCCCCGGCCACATCAAGGCTGAGCAAGGCATCCTACCGTTTGGAATGGGCTCCAAAAAGCCAGCTCATACACTAGGGGTAGGTCCTGGTCATACTGTCGGGGTCCCACAAACAGACCAGGCTGCAAAACTGTCGCCCACCTACAGAGAGCCTGGTTCGGTACCATGCAAGATCCCCAGCTGTCAGTCTGAGCTCCTGCAAGTTTAGGTCAGCTATCTGTCTGTGTTTTTCCATCATGACCTTGACCCCCTTGCTCATATAATCCCTCCTCCCTCTCTTTGACTGGACTGGTGCTTGGTCTGGTGCTTGAATGTGGAACTCTGCTCTGCTTCCATCAGTTACTGGATGACGGTAGTCATCAATCTGATTACAGGGGAAGGCCAGTTTAGGCACTCTGTCCACTATTGCTAGGAGTCTTCTCTGTAATCATCCTTGTGGACTCCTGGGAATTTCCATAGCATCCAGTTTCCCCCATAATGGAGCCCTCTATTGAGATATCTCTTTCCTTGCTCTTCCACCCCACCCCTCCCCCAACTTGACAATCCCATCCCCTCATGTTCTCATGCCCCATCCCCTTCCCTTTAGCACCCCCTTCCCTGCCCATAGTTTACTCAGGAGATCCCATCTATTTCCCCTTCCAAGGGCAATCCATGTGAAGGGACAGCCTTTCATTAGAAAGGATTTTCTTTCTCTGTATAATGAAGGACTATCAGGTTTTAGCTAATGGATCTGAGTTATTAGAGCTTTTGCATTTAGCCTAAATTCTGTTTCAGTGGACAAGTGATTGAAGTATGGATAATCTTCTTAAATTAGTTGTCACTTTTAGTTCTAGCTTTACCTGTGGTTTGGCTGGGGCTCTGGCATCTAACCCGGTTGACGTGGTGAGAACACGAATGATGAATCAGAGGGCAATAGTGGGACATGTGGACCTCTACAAGGGTACTTTGGATGGTATTTTAAAGGTATGTGCACTGTGGGTTTGGGCTACGGTTTCTGTTTTCTTTGATGTTTGAGAACATTTTATTCTTCTTGCTACATATTCTGAACATTAAGCAACCATTAGGTGTATTTTTTAGTAGCCTCTGAGAATCATCCAAAGGCAAATAACCACTCCCAGAAAATTTGCTAATGCATAGTGCTTCTTAATGTTATTCCAATTTGAATGCTTGAAAATACAGGATACATATAATACATATATGTATACATATAGTAATACATATAATAGCATTGTGTAGAATTATTACTATCAATATTTAATATATCCCAGGTCATGGAAGGGGAAGTTAAAAGGGGAGCAAGAGGGATGGAAATGATATAAATGAGTACTGGTGTATGAAATTCTATTTTTTTAATTAGGAAGCTGGAGAGGTAGCTCAGCACTTAAGAGTACTGGTTACTCTTCCAAAGGCCTTGTGTTCAAGTCCCAGCACCTACATGATACATCACAACTGTCTATAATGCCAGGGGATCTAACACCCTTTTCTGGCCTTCATAGGCACTGCATGCACATGTTGCATGAGATGCATGCAGACAAAACACCTATACATAAAATAAAAATTTTAATAGGATTACTATATCCCATGCTTTCCAACCTCAAATAAGGAGAGACTCCATAGTAGAAGTCCTGGTACTTAAGAAGCTTCAAAACCCAATACTTGGGTTAGGTTCCAGGTTGTTCTGTTGATCACATTCTGCCTTGAGTATTTCTGTTGGGGTTGGATATCATAAATGTTTACAAAAGTATTGGTTACATTATTACTATAAAAAACAATTCAGGGATAAAATGTGAAGGGACCATATGATTTTTCTGCTGTTATCAGTTTCAATGAACATATATTTGTTATTTATGAGGTACTATTTTAATAGCTAAAGGGAATTATAGGTATTACTAAAGTACTGACAGTTACAAATAGATAATAAATATAGCATAATAACTGATAAAACCTAGAACGCTATGGTAGGAAATTATGGCCCATACTTGAGAATTTTAAATAACTCACATTTGCTGAATGCTTTGTTGTATGACAGGAGCTGTTCTAATGAGATTTACATGCATTCAGTCACTTCATTCTCCTCATTATCCCATGAGATAGATATTTTGGCACTGAAGGATCACCTTCTTTAGAATTTTACAGTTAGCAAATAGGCGTGCTGCAATAAACTCAGACTTTTTGGCTTAAGGAAGCATTCTTAACTAATACGCTTGATACTTTCCTGATATCAGTAACTATAGGTTGAGTGGATTATATTGAGATGCTTAGAAATACTGAGAGCTTTAAACAGGTCCCATTTGTATTTTAAGTACGTCACTCTGTCTTTGTGGAAATAGTATCTAAGATAGTGGGTCTCAATCTTGGGTACACATTGGAATCACTCATTAATTTCACAGCTCCCATGTTTTTCTTAGATCAGTCAACTCAGAACCTGGGTTATTAAGAGTTTTAGAATTTCACAGGTGGTTGTGTGTTCATCCAAGTTTGAAGACCACTAATTTAAGGGGATGAGGGTGGGACAGTGACTAGGTCTTCTCTGTTTAACATGTTTTAGAATTAACTGAATTAATTCAGCATGTCAGAAATGGGACCTGAGAATTTATATTTCCAGCAAGGTTCTAACCTAGTTGACTTAAAGAGCCATTGAGTTGGAGATAAGAATGTTGATTAAAAGTTTTATGTAGTGATCTGAGTGAGAAATGATGAAGGCCTGAGCCTCAGTGTGACTGGGAATGTAGAAGATGGGACAGAATTAGGAATAATTTAGTTAGAAGAATTTAATCATTGAGAATAATTGGAATAATAGAGTTTTGTTGAGATGATATGGAGATGTGTGGGGAAGAGGGTGTGTCGAAGATGACTTCCCGGGTCTGGATTTGGTGACCAGATGTTGTAAACCTTCTCTGGTTATATACCTATCTGTATGTTAATGATCCTAAGAACGCTTCCCTATAACCACAGAATTCTACCAATTTAAGCCTAATATCTCCAAATACTATGAGTTCTTCCTCATACACATCAAACTAAGCATCAAAAACCATGTCCCCTATAAAATCTGGGTTTTTTTTTTTGATAATTTGGATGATGGGAAGGAGGTGACCACACGCAAATCTTGAGAAAACCATTTCATAAATAAAGAACAGATTATAAAAGGCCTGAGTTGAAATGAGTTTGACTTTATTAGAGTTAAAAATAAGGATTGTGTGGCTGAGTACAGTAAGCAAAGAAGAAGTCATAGGAAGTGAATTTGCAGACAGGGACATAGTCTAAATCATGTAGGATCCTAGAGGTCGCTACAAAGCATTTAGAATTAGAATGAAAGCCACCTGAGAACTTTGAAGTAGGATTGTCGTATAGTCTGATTTATAATTCTTAAAAGTTGATTTTAGTTGGTAGGTGGAGATCTTAAACCAATTAGGATTTTAGTGTGATAATTGAGATAATGATAATTGGATAATCTCTGAGGTCTCTTGTCATTTAATTATATGTTTTTAGGTTATCTGCATCTCAACTTTATTTTGGATAATTTTCAAAATTAAAACATGAATTTTGGATTGAGTGTTTCAGTATTTGCTGGAGGTCCATTGGTAGAAGCATATTATTTATGACTGTCTATCAATAGTATTATTACTATGTTATTATTTGTCTTTCCCATCCCCAAGTGATTAATAAAGACACTTATTTCTAGGTTCTTAATTTGCAGGATGAGAAAAGAGATACTTTTAAATCTGGCTTCTCATATTATTATCTTATTAAAATGTGTTCATTTCTCAAAACAGTGCTAAAATTCATTTCACCACTGAAAGGCAGAACAACATTTTTCAGTATCGGACAAAACACCCGACATATTGCCATTACTTTATAGATATTTGTCTATTATATAAACTACTTTTTGGCAGAATTCAGCATATGGCATCAGCTTTTGGCCTTAAGTCAGTCATCTAGTTCTTGAGACCATTTGGTGCATATAGAGACCCCCTGCTATGTAAGTCAGGGCACCACAATACACAGCAGTTCATGTTGTTCGTCACCCATAGTCCTCCAAACACTCACCTGAAATATCCCGTGGAGTCACAGTAACTTTAAAAGTAGAAAACAGAGTCAGAGAAGGAAAGTGACTTTCTCAAGTCCTTATTTCTTTCCTTGGTTTTCTTCATCCCTTTTATCATTTCTGGATACAATATGTATCAATATAATATCTACCAATATCTGTCCATCTATCCATCATCTATCTATCTATCGAAACGATGTGTGTATTTGCTTACCACAATAGAGTATACATTCAGTAGAGGCACAGATTGTATAAGCTATGTATAGCTGTATAGCAAATTACTCTAAAACTCAGTGTCTTAAAAGTACAGTATTCTTTTCCAGTTTTGGGGGATCAGGAATTAAGAAGCAGCCTTGTTGAATGATTCGAGAGTGAGACCTCTTAAGAGGCCGTACGTCAACCAAGACTTCAGCCATCATCAAGGCTTGAGTGGGGCTAGCATATCTCCTTCAAAGGTGACTCATTGATGTTAGTTAAATGCTTCAGCTCCCTATGATGTAGGCCTCGTTTCATAGTATGACAGCTGGTCTCCATCAGAGTGAATAATTCAAGAGAGGAGGCAATAGACACCTCATTATCTATCAAATGTTTTTTTATAATCTAGCAGTGTTAATTTCTGCTCTGTTCAACAGTCCTGATATGATGTGAGAGCTGCACAAGGACATGGATGACAAGGATAGGGTCCTTTAGGTGTGCCGTCACTTTATGTAGCTATTTCTAGTTACTGCAGACATACTGCCTGGGAAGTTACTATTTCTCACAATTTCATTTCACATGTTCATATAATGTACTTGAATCGATTATCTTGCATTATCCTCTCTTATTTCTGTCCCGCTCCCTCAAAATTCCCTTCTAATACCCAACAACTCCTATTTCTCATTGTTTTTATTTGTTTGTGACCCACTACATTTAATTAGGGTGTTTTGAGACAGGGTCTCATGTAGAGACCAAGGCTAGTCTCAAATTCACTGTATAGCTAAGGATAGCATTGAACTCCTGATTTACTTTCTCTGCTTCCAGAGTGCTAAGATTATAGGCATGTACTGCCATGCCCAGCTCTTACTTATGGTTATATTCCCAGAGTTAAGAAGTATGTGTTGTATATGTGGGGTGCTCAAGAAATAAATATTGAATAATGGTTTGATGCATTTAGATTCAAATTATTTAGACTATGAAGTATATCTTCGGAAAAGAGACCATTCATAGTAGCCAAAGTTTCTGGGAGTGGGCATGGAAAATGGTTGTCAAATGTAATAAAAAAAAAGGAAATTCACTATTTTCCGTTATGTCTTTACCTCAGATGTGGAAACATGAGGGTTTTTTTGCCCTCTATAAAGGATTTTGGCCAAACTGGCTTCGACTTGGACCCTGGAACATCATTGTATCCTTTTAGAAACTGAGAATACAAGCCAGTCCTTCAAAGTCCCAGGTATTTCTAGGTTATGGGAAGATAATTTTGATTATTAAATCCTTTATAGAAAAGTAAGAAACTCAAGCATCCCATTGGAGACCAGTGTGAATGGAACCAAGTAGAGAAATAACTTTCCCTTGGAGGCAAATACATATACTTAAAGGGACAGAAAAGATGTGCCAGATGTTCCTCTTTAAATCAAAATGTCTAAGATGGCTCAGTGTGTAAAGGTGCTCACCTCCATACCTGGTGACCTGAGTTTAATCTCCGGGACTTACGGTGAAAGGAGAGAATTTGCTCCTGTAAGTTGTCCTCTGAACTCTAAACACACATACACACACATACATACATACATACACACACACACACACACACACACACACACACACACACACACACACACACTGTGGCAGGTACATACCTTCCCCAGCAAACAAACAAACAAACAAATAACCAAATAAATGTAATACAACAAAATATCAAGCACAGCCAGTTGTCCTGTGAACTTCATGCACACACTCTGGCAGGCACATGTCCTCCCCAGCAAATACATAAATAAGTAAGCAAATAAATCTAATAAAACAAAATTTAGTGACACTGATAGAAGATGCTCACTGGAAACTCCATGCTTTTGTGGTCTAGAGTTCTTAACTGTGAGACCCAAATAGCTAGAAAATGCCAGCAGGACACAAAGCATTGGTAGAGTGAACAAAACCACAGCCAAGTAGGACTCTATTATCGTGGGTGCCTTTCTCTCCTTCAGCCGTGCTTTAGTGCCTTGTATGGGTAGAGCCATGCACTGGATACTTTGTGTACTTGTGAGCTTGGCAGGGTTGAAAAGTAATTCCCCACCCTTCTGGAATCTGTAGACTGAACAGAGAGTACATCTCTTTCTCTCTTTGGAATTGGGTTTTGTATTGTGTTGTGTTTGTTCTGTTTGCTTTTGAAAACTATAACTATATTATAATTCATTTTCATTGCTCAGTACCATTGATCATAATGGAAAATAGTAGGCAATCAACACATCTTATCTTTTTTTCCTGATTTTTCAGGACAGGGCTTCTCTGTGTAAGAGTCCTATCTGTCCTGGAACTCACTCTGTAGACCAGGCTGGTCTTGAACTCACAGAGATCTGCCTGCCTCTGCCTTCCAAGTGCTAGGATTAAAGGTGTGTGCTACCACTGCGTGGCCCAACACATCTCATCTTAAGAAAAGTCTTTGAAGGGCTGGAAAGATGGCTCAGTGGTTAAGAGCATTACCTGCTCTTCCAAAGGTCCTGAGTTCAATTCCCAGCAACCACATGGTGGCTCACAACCATTTGTAATGAGGTCTGGTGCCCTCTTCTGGCCTGCAGGCATACATGTAGACAGAATATTGTATATTAAATAAATAAGTAAATAAATATTTTTTAAAATCCAGTTTAAATAGAAAAGTCTTTGAAGGAAACCCCCTTTAGTCTAAGTACATTAATTTAAGAAAATGCAATGTACAATTTTCAAAATGGGTTTAACTTTCAGTGTCAACTCAGAAATCTTCCATGACTCACTTTTCAGTTTTTTATTACATACGAGCAGCTCAAGAGGCTTCAGATCTAAGAACTGAAAAATCCATGGACCCAACACTACCGCCCTTTCTACTGTTCTCCTTTGTGTTCCTAATGTATTTTGACAAAGACGTGTGTGTTTACAGAACCAGTGGTCTCCCGAGGGTCCTCTTATTGAAGAGTAGTAGGATGACTTAAGGTTGTTTATGCATCTGTGTTACCTCTTCCCTAAGAGGAAGTATTCACATTGAGAGTGTGACCCCAGATTGGTGTCTTCTGTGAAGATGGATACTGATGGGTGACATTCAAAAGGGCCTTCTTTTCAAATGTGGGTTAAATGCAGTTGGTTATCCCCAGACAGGTTACAGCAGAAGGCGACCAGCACAGGTCCTGCTATGTATGTTATAGACCTTGGTTCTCATTAAACTATTTATTGGCTGAATCATTCTGACTTTGTCTTCATTTACTCTCTTCTTTCCTAACTCTAAGTTGCCTTTTCTAGAAACTGAAACAGAGAAAGTGATTGAAATTGAGACTGGACTCTTACAACACATTTATGGGAGCTGCCTCTGCCTCCCAAGTGCTGGCATTAAAGGCGGCAGCACCACCTTCCGGCCTGAGATGGGATTCTTAAAACACAAATTTGTCCACAGAATGCCACCTGCTTCTAAACATCAGGGCAGTGGTTCTTTCCAGAATGTGAAACAAGTAAGCAAGTGGATCGTTTGGAAGGTTCTGCAGATAAAATGCTAACCACGGTTTACAAAATAGCCCTGTGGTCTGAGTTAAGGTCTTCATAATCATCTGCTCATGTGTTTATTCAAATGTCATATGTCCTTTACTTCCTGAATGCTGGGGATATGAAGAATGATCCTGTCTCTGGTTTTTAAGCTCACGTTAGAGTAGAAACTGGCTTGAGAGTAAACAATAATAGTTGGCTCTAAGTACTATGAGAGGGACAATCAAAGAGCTGCAGGAGGATGGAGGAGAAAGCTTTACTTAGAGGCTCTGCCAAAGCTTCAGAGTGGAGTTGACATTTAAACTGAGCCAAAGGACGAGGGGATGGTACCACGTGGATAAGGCCTTATATATCTTGACAAGTGTTTAACAACATATATCTGCCATTAGAGAATCATAAAGAATGGTTTTATTACCCTACAAATCCTCCTAACCCTTGGCAACCACCATGACTTTTACCGTCTCAATGGTAACGCCTTTTCCAGAGTATCATAATTGGAATCATACAGTAGCCTTTCACATGGGCTCCTTTCCTGTAGTGATGTCCTTTAATTGTCCTCTGTGTCTTTTAGAGATTTATTTTTATTTTGTGTGCATGTGTTTTTGCCTGCACTGTATGTCTGTGTACCACCAGTGCTCCTTGGAAGCCAAGAAAGGGTGTTGGATCCCCGGAACTGGAGTTTCCGATGATTGTTAGCTGCCATGTAGATGCTGGGATCTGAACCTGTGTCATCTGCAAGAGCAACAAATGCCCTTAACCACTGATCCATCTCTTTTTCCCTGTTCTAGATCTTTTGATGGCTGTATATTTCATTTTGGTTTAGTGCTACATTAGACAGCATAAGCCACTGTGACAGAATACCAGAGAAACCTAAAGGGAGAGAGGTTAATTTTGGTTCATGGTTGGAGAAGTCTCAGCTCAATTAGGTGAACTGACCATGCTTTTGGTGCTGTGATGAGGCCCATTGTGGCAGGAAGCCATGACAGAAGAAAGCTATCTGCTTTGTAGTAGCCAGGAAGCAGGAAAAAGAGATGAAGGGACCTGTAAATATTTGTCAAATGAGTAAATGAATTAATCTGTAGCGAAAGTATCAGATACAATTCCTAAAAATAGAATAAAGGTTCATAAGGTACTATAGTATATGTTTGTTTAAAAATTGAATTAACAGATAGATGATTTAAGATAAGGATTACTTCAAACCTGAGCCAATAGAAGGGCAGTACTGCCATTATTTTAAGTACTGTATGTATATATATACTGATGACTTCCAGATGGACATCTTCAGCCCATGCCTTTCCCCTTGCCTGCATACTAGTTTGGTTTTTTTGTGTGTGTGTGTGTGTGTGTGTGCCAGTGCCAGTGCCTACTCCACATCTCTGATCAAGTCTAATAGGTACTGTAGATTTGTGTGTGTGTGTGTGTGTGCGTGCGTGTGTGTGTGTGCGTGTGCACACACATGAGAGCGACTTCAATGATTTATTATGTACCAGATACTGTTGTAAGTGTAATGTCTTGTCTTTATAAAATGAAATCCTTAAAATCACCCTTCGAGGCAGGTACTGGTCCTATTTTTTTCAGATTATAAATTGACACACAGGAAAGTGAAGTACTTTGCTCATTGAAAGTAGCAAATGCTAACCAAAGTCTAGCTCATGAGCTCATGTTTATTATGATTATTGGAGAGGTATACTGACTTACCTTGTTAGGAGCCACGTAAAGTTTATAGCAGGTGATCACTAAACATACTGATTCCATGAATTCCCCAATCTTTATAGTATTTTTGTGGTTGTTAACTCTTCGACACTTAACTGTAATACTTCATTTTGATGGTTTTCTTGAAGACCTTGACTGTATGTATATTATTCCCCAATTATTTTCCACTTCCTACTACATTCCTTTGTCGCCCTCTCTTTTCCATTACCTTCGTTGTCACTCTATCCCTTCTTCCTCCAGTCAAAGCCAGCACAGTTCATAGCCAGTAACACAGCAGGGTTCAGAAAGATGTTTAGAACATGGAGTTATTAGTATAGATGAAGTGTTGAAATTTTTAATTTGGAAATGGGGCTAGACTTCTAGCCCTCTCTTCCAATATATTTATATCTATCTATTTATCTATCTATCTACCTATTATATATTTGGTTTTTAGAGACAGGGTTTCTCTGTGTAGCCCTGACTGTCCTGGAACTCACTCTGTAGACCACGCTGGACTACAGAGAGATCCTCATGGCTCTGCCTCCCGAGTGCTGGGATTAAAGGCATGTACCATCCCCGCCCCACATTATAAATACTTTTTAATGCATCTATGTCCCTATCATGCATTTAGTAAGTAAGAAAAACAGTTTAATATTACTATATGTAAGATTATGAGGGGACCATGTCATCTTAAAGAGGTGTAATAGTCTAAGAGCCACTCAACTCTGAATCAGTGTTTTACACTTGAAATAAGCTCATAGCCATTCTGCTGTAATTTATTGGTTTTTGCTCTCACCCTTTTTCCAAATTACTGCTGAGCTGATAGGACCTTCAATTGCTCCTCTGTGTGACGAGTTTTCACATCTGTTGACTGTCTCGATGAAAACATTTGTAAAAATACATTTACCAGTTTTGTAAAGCAGCACAGTCATTGACAGGACCTAAGACAGTGCTATCTCGGTGTATTTATCAGCTGTTTAGTGCCTTCATGTCAACACAATTGAGACAGAACTGGAACTGATGCACATTTATTATGTTGAATTGGCAATGGGATTAAAGCATGAGATTGTCAGGCAGCATATATCAAAACAGAACAAATGTGTGAAGCCTTCCTCAGGCTTTCTACCCTGTGTGATCTTACTTCCTCTGGCCCTCAGGAGCAAATGAATCCTGCATGCCCCACCATAAAGGTGTGCAGGTTAAAGAAATGGGGGTGCTTTGTAAAAAGAGATCTTAGACCGTTAACGGCTGCATTGGTTGTTTCCAGGCTTCCTTCTGAGAGGGCTGCTTGAGCCCAGCGACTGATTGTGATCCTAACAGCTTGTAAACCCAGGGGCCATATGGCTGGGTAGCATGTTAAACACTCATGCACTTTATCCTGTCGTGCCTGACCCATCAGACAGAACACATCTTTCCTTTTCATTCAGTCTTCCTAAAGACTCCAGCGTCTCATCTTCTACTGTGCCAAGTCTCACCTCCCTGTTCTCTGTGTAAATGTTTGGCTCTCAGGCTCACTGAGCAGTTTGTGATATTATACACAGACTGCCTCAGAAAACTTTGAGTGATGGCACCAAAACTGACAGCTCTCTAGATATCACACTGTGTGCTGTATTGATGGAGTCACAGGGAAGGGTTTTCTCAAACTACCGTGTTCTGTAGTCCAGCTTTCTGTGTTTCAGGAGATGGGTTAAGCATCTTGATAGCAGGGTGTATCAAAATATTTCATTCTGGTAAATCAAATCAGTCCTAACCTAAACCAATTTTCCTGGGATGGCTTATGCTTTCAGCAATGTATGTGCTTTCATTTCCTTGAGATAGTTATGTCAGTGCTGTCTGTTCATGTGTGGTTCATTTATGATGTCTTTTAGTAGCTATCCCAGGGAAACCTAACACCAAGGAATGCCAACAAAACCCTAAATCAAAATTAGTATCATTACTTTGTTGTCATTTTTGAGACAAGTTTTCTCAATATAGCCCTGGATGTCCTGAAATTCAGTATGGAGACCAGGCTGGCCTCAAACTCAGAGAGATCTGCCTCTGCTTCCAGAGTGCTGGGATTAAAGGCATGTGCCACCACATACAGCCTGAATAAAAATTCCTATCAAGGCTTAATACTTGTTGATTTAGTAATGCTGCTTTGGAGGCTGTAACCTTAAGTGATTGAACAGAGGCACATCAGAGATTTATGCACAGGATATTTATACTGATATAACAATGAGAAATACTAAATTTGAACACAACTATAAGAAGTGACTAAAATACTACATATTCATTTGTTGAAAACACACATACAACCATTATGTTACACTTTTGAAGAAGACACAGTGACCTAGGAAAATACACACAATATAATATAAATTGGAAAAAAAAAGATGGAGAATAGAAGTGGCCATCTCTGGAGGGTGTAATTATAAGCACCTGAATGATTTTATGTATTTTCAAATATTTCTAAAATGACTAAAGGTAGTTTTAATAATACAAAAGGTTTAATAAATATATCCCATACATCAGTGTGCACCTCTAAAAGAAACCCCAGGAAGGATGCAGTTTCATAGCACCTACCTCTGAAATGTTTGTGGGATAGACAGGTGAACAGATACACGATTAATGCATGGCAGTTAACATTTGTAGGTGCCACAGATTTGTAGGTGCTATTTGTAAGATTGACGAAATAGCAAAGGAGGATTCATGGAAAAGTAGGT